CCTCCGTGCAGCTGGGTGGGCAGGACAGGGGTAGCGATGGCTGAGCACCAACGGCCAGCCACGCCCAGGCGTGTGCTCACACCAGTGACCCATCCAGTGGCCTCTGGTTCCGGCCTCCTCCTCCCCGACCTCCTCGGGGCCTCTGCGGGGGGCGGAGGGTACACACCTCACGTCAGTGGGGACGCTGAGGCCCACCTTCAAGGGGCAAGTGACGGCTGATGGTTACCCAAGAAGCAGGGGTAGTCAGGGTCTGAATCCAATACAGACACTCCTACAGCTGCCATCTTTCCTACCGCTGCCACCATCATCGCCATCCCTATCACACCAGCACCATCATCACCACCCTCACTATCACTATCACCACCAGCACCATCAGCACCACCATCACCACCATCACCAGCACCATCACCACCATCACCACCACCACCAGCACCACCACCACCACCATCATCACCATCACCATCACCACCAGCACCACCACCACCAGCACCACCACCACCACCATCATCACCATCACCATCACCACCAGCACCACCACCACCAGCACCACCACCACCACCATCATCACCATCACCATCACCACCAGCACCACCACCACCAGCACCACCACCACCACCATCATCACCATCACCATCACCACCAGCACCACCACCACCAGCACCACCACCACCACCATCATCACCATCACCATCACCACCAGCACCACCACCACCAGCACCACCACCACCACCATCATCACCATCACCATCACCACCAGCACCACCACCACCAGCACCACCACCACCACCATCATCACCATCACCATCACCACCAGCACCACCACCACCAGCACCACCACCACCACCATCATCACCATCACCATCACCACCAGCACCACCACCACCAGCACCACCACCACCACCATCATCACCATCACCATCACCACCAGCACCACCACCACCAGCACCACCACCACCACCATCATCACCATCACCATCACCACCAGCACCACCACCACCAGCACCACCACCACCACCATCATCACCATCACCATCACCACCAGCACCACCACCACCAGCACCACCACCACCACCATCATCACCATCACCATCACCACCAGCACCACCACCACCAGCACCACCACCACCACCATCATCACCATCACCATCACCACCAGCACCACCACCACCAGCACCACCACCACCACCATCATCACCATCACCATCACCACCAGCACCACCACCACCAGCACCACCACCACCACCATCATCACCATCACCATCACCACCAGCACCACCAGCACCACCACCACCACCACCAGCACCACCAGCACCACCATCACCAGCACCATCACCACCATCACCACCACCACCATCACCTCCACCACCATCACCAGCACCACCCCTCCCCACAGCAGGCAGCAGCAGCATTGCCTCCACAGCAGAACACAACAGAGTGCATCCAGACGAAGGGAAGAGATCTGAACCAAGGGCCCCCCTATCCACGCTGGGCCCCCCAACAGCAGCCACACCCGAGGGCGGGAGGGGGTCGCTGTGGGAGACAAGCCCGGGGGCCCAAGGAGAAAGGGGCCTGGCACCGGATATACCACCCAACCCAGCACTGACTGGGGAGACTGAGGCAGGGCTGCCGGAGGC